TGGCCTCAGTCCCGGTCTCAGTCCTGGTCACCATCTCAGTCCTAAACCAGGACTGAACCAGGACTGAACGGGCCAGGAGGTGCGCCCGCGTAGACTGTCGGGTGATCAGGACTGAGACCAAGACTGAGACAGGTTCAGTCCTGGTTCAGTCCTGGTTTAGTCCTGGTTTAGTCCCGGTTCAGTCCGTTATCCGTTTTTTCCATTTTTCATTTAAACACAAAATCAAAAACTGAAAAAAAAACCCAAATCATTATCTGTAAAAAGTAGTTTTTTTTTTTCATTTTTTGGTTTTATTTTGAAAAACAAATGAACGAACGACACACAGACTGAATTCAGTGTCAACCATCAATCATCTAATAATCAAAATTTTCATTCTAGTTCTAATTATTATTTTATTGTAGATCTGTGGAGTCGACTGAAGAAAGGAGAGTTTATCTCTGCTTCTTGTTCAACAGACGTGAAAATAAACACGTCACAATTTTCCACAAAATTAAAACCATTTTTCAGGTTCGTCCTTTTAACAGCAGAACATCTGGGACAAATAAACCCAGAGAGAATAAAATATCAAAACTAATGATGATGTGATTTGAAATAAAACTTTAAACTAAATATTGGAAATCGAGGTCGAAATCTGTTTTTTTATTTGACGCTAAAACGTAAAAATGAAATGATAAACTGTTTTCCCGTTTTATCGTTTTTCGTTCTTTATTGAAATTCAAAAAAAGGTGAATCGGCAAAACTCAAACATGAATCAGCCCAAATCCAACTTCAGACGGTCGAGACGGCGAGAAGAAACGACCAGAACCTGATTTAAAAGCTGTGAAAAGTCCATTTTGCAGAATAGATCGGCTTTAATTCTGTATTTACGATCTGTATTTTAAAATTCTACGACATGATTTGCACTGTTTCCTTCTGATCCGTTCGTCAGTGTGGAATAAAGGATTTACGAACCCGTTTTCTTGTCTTTTGTCTGGTCTCTTTTCAAAGTGTTTCCTGTAACTGAATCCATAAATCCAGGATGACTTTAATGCCGCACTCTGGCGCATTCTGGGAAAAGCTTTAACATCTTCATGAGACAAACGAGCGGAGACGGAACAAGAACTGAAATATTGTGATTTTGTCTCGTCAAAAGTCTCAGAATATCAGAGGTCATCACGAGATAAAGAATCACAAGAGTCTTTGTTTAAATTCATAGTTACGGTGATTCTAATGTTTTTCTTTATGATTTTAATGTTTTTCATTGTAATTTTAATGTTTTTCATTGTGATTTTAGTGTCTTTGTGATTTTAGTGTTTTTCGTCATGATTTTAGTGTCTTTCTTTATGATTTTAATGTTTTTCATTGTGATTTTTATGTTTTTCATTGTAATTTTAATGTTTTTCATTGTGATTTTAGTGTCTTTGTGATTTTAGTGTTTTTCGTTATGATTTTAGTGTCTTTCTTTATAATTTTTATGTTTTTCATTGTGATTTTAGTGTCTTTCTTTATGATTTTTGTGTTTTTGTTGTGATCTTAGTGTCTTTCTGTGTGATTTTAATGTATTGCTTTGTGATTCTAATGTTTTTTGTTGTGATATTAATGTCTTTCTTTGTGATTTTCATGTATTTATTTGTGATTTTATTGTCTTTCTCTGTGATTTGAATGTATCTGTTTGTGATTTTAATGTTTTTCTTTGTGATTTTAGTGTTTTAGTTCTGATTTTAATGTTTTTTTTAGTGATTTTAATGTCTTTCTTTGTGATTTTAGTGTCTTTCATTGTGATTTTAGTGTCTTATTTGTGATTTTAAGATATTTATTTGTGATTTTAACATTTTTCTTTGTGATTTTAATGTTTTTCTTTTTGATTTTAGTGTTTTTGTTGTGATTTTAATGTCTGTTTTTGTGATTTTAGTGTGTTTTGTTATGATTTTAATGTTTTTCTTTGTGATTTTAATATCTTTATTTGTGATTTTAGTGTTTTTGTTGTGATTTTAGCATCTTTTGTTGTGATTTTAGTGTCTTTATTTGTGATTTTTATGTTTTTGTTGTGATTTGAATGTCTTTCTTTGTGATTTTAGCCAAATTCTTTATATTAAGACAGAACCAAACGCTTTTCAAGGCTTTTAAAAGGAGAAAAGAAATCGTGAAAATATCGTATTGAGTGTTTTTTATGGTTACATCTCTACAGATAAGTGTCAGTTCTTCTCACACGTCGCACCTTTACGTCCTTTTTCAAACACGTCTCTTCTCTCGTGTTTGATTCTGTCTCTGTGAGTCTGGACAGTCTTAAATCACATCACACATCCTCCTCTGGTCCTGTCCTGGAGAAACACTCGTGATCTGGGGGAAGATTATGGACGGGATTTGATTATCGCTGAGTGCAGGAGCAGAGTCGTGTCAGGTTACAGTCAGGACGGACGCTGCTGGAGGTTAGAGCTGTTGGAAAGAGAGAGAATCCACACCGCACACACACTGGAGGATGTTTGTAAAGCAGCAGGACTGACTGAACTGCTTTTCCTTGGGGTCTAAACGTGTAAATACTGACACTTTGTGGTTCGAGACAAGTGTGAGTCCATGTGCACAGTTTTCAAAGCAGCCCCCCCCCCCCAAACACAAATCTGGTCACACTAACCTGTATTCTCCTGAGTCGTGTCTTTTAGTCCGACTTTAGTCACTTTGGCTGCGTTCAGATGCACCTGAAGTGACCCAAATGTGATTTTTTGTCTCTATGTTCCTGTATCTGATCTTTTAATGTCAGTCTGAACCACACAGGTCTGATTTGATTTGATTGAGTTGAAGATTCAGGTCCCAAACTGTAAACTGAACAGATTCAAACATTCTTTTGTGCCACCAGCTGTTAATCTGCTAAACTCAGATAATGCAGTTAAAAAATAATTATAAAAGGCTTAGGGATTGTGCAATCAAAACTGCACATAGGTGTAGGGAATGTGCAATAATTAAATCTGCACATAGGCTAAGGGAATGTGCAATAATTTTAACTAAAACTACACATAGGCTTAGGGAATGTGCAATAATTAATAGAACAGAAGAATGCAAGGGTTTGCCGTTAAGGATAATTTAAGGTCCTGTTGGTGCGTCACTCGTGGTCATACTGGTCTCATATTTACTTTGTTTTATGGTGTTTGTTTATGTGCTGCTTTGTGTTGTGTTGTCCTGTTTTTTTGATAAAACATGTGACCCCCCGTCCCAAGACAAATTTCTCCCATGGGAAACAATAAAGGATCATCTTATCTATCTTATATCTTATCTTATTTTTTCAAATGTGACCCAGGACACTTGGATCTGTGCTCCTGAAACTGATCCATATCTGATCTTTAACATGTGACTTGAGTGTGAACAGTCAGGTCACATTCATCCACCTACACGTCATCAACAAGACACAAACGTCACTATTCTGCACTGAAGTAGAGAAAACTGTTCATGATCCATGTGACTGAAGTGAAGCACATCTCCACTCACCACAAAACACCACCACCAAAAACCTGGTCCTTCTCCTTCTCAATCTCCTCCTTAAAACAAGTCAGTTGTTCATGTTGTGGCTCCGGTACGAGAGGAACTTTAAAATCTCCAGGTGCTCGATGCTGCGTCCATGTTTGGACAACTTCTGTAAACACAGAGACGCTCGCTGCGGTTGACGTCGTCGTGTCTCCAGTGTCACATGTGGGACACTTTTGGGCCGTTTAATGTTCACACTGGAGTCACATACAAGTCACATTTAACTGGAAATGTGAACGACCTCGAAAAAACATCGGATTTCACAAAAAAATCGGAATTGAGCGTTAAACCCTGCAGTCTGAACACAGCCATATTTTATGTAAATTAGTGATGTGGTTTTAAGTTTTGTTTCTGTGAGATTTGAACAAAACTGAATTAAACACATTATAATGTCAAACAGCTGATGTGGATCTAGAGTCGTTATGTTTATATGTCGAAAAGTTGAATTTATTTATGCAGATTAGTGCAGATAGTAATAATAATGATCATTTTAATATAAAAACGTTAATGATTAATCGATAATCGATCGTTTATTCTTCCGACGATCGATTAAGAAAATTTCATCAAATGCCCGTCCCTGGTCTGAACTGTCGCTCTGTGCAGACGTCACCTTTAAAAGTTTTATTCCTTTAAAGGTTGTATGGAGGATTTTTTTTTAGCTTCAAATTGTCATTGAAAGTTTAAAACACCATTACAGAGACACAGCAGCCTTGTAATTATGACCAAAAAAAAAAAAGAATAAAAATCTATCAACTGTGGATGTAGTGAGGCCAGATAAACATCAGCCAATATATAACGAGGCTCCCTCTTTATCTATTGGCTGTTGGGTTGTCAGTCAAACTCCCTACGTTTCTAGTGTAGCTGACTCGCCAACACACAGGGATTACACGGTTTATGCTGCGGTTCTTAGAGGATTTTTCAAACTGTAGCTTCCTCAAAATTCACACAAAATTTGTTGCAATGGCAGGCGCGCGAATCCACGACCAGTTCACCGCAAACGAAAGTCCATTTTTGAGGTTCGCTAAAAGAAGAAGAGAAGGGGAAGAGGAGCGAAGACAAACTGAGGTGATTCTTGGAGGTTCCTTCCAGCGATGGCGCGACTGAAGCCGACGAAAGGTCTAAAACTGATGTGTCGGTCGGTGAATTATTTCTAGGCAGGTCACTTCAACAGTAATTCTGAACGCGCACTGGCTGTAAACAAACGTGATTTCTAGAGTAAAGAAGCAGGAGGAGGTGTTTCTACTGAGGCTGTGGAGGAGGAAGGTGGTGAACTGTCGCTGTATTTCACGTCCCTTAAAAAATCCTCTATACGACCTTTAATAATAAATGAGTCTTGGTGACATCAGAGTTTTATTACATAATTTAACTGACAGAACAGAGTCAAAATCAGAACAATAATGTGAATTGTTTTATATTAATTTATCTTCATTTAAATCAGCGTCTGACCACAAAAAAAAACTGGCAAAATCAAATAAACTGATTGGTTTGTGTTGAATTTGAAACTTCTACTGCTCTTCGGTTTTAGCCTCGACCGCCACCTCCAGCTCAGGCTCCTTCCTACTTCCTGCCTGTGACTTCCTGCTTCCTGTGTTGGCGGTGGGCGTGCCGTTGGCAGCGTGGGCAGCGTGGGCAGCGTGGGCAGCGTGGGTCTGGCCGCTCGGGGTCTGGAAGTGTTTCCTGGAGCCGAGCAGAGACGGATTATTGACCAGAGTGAAGAGGAGCCGCCAACGTCTGCGGATCCGACGACTCAAGACGGCGGCGTTTGGACGGTTCTCCTGAAGACCTGAGGGAACAGGACCAGGACTAGACCAGGACTAGGACCAGGACTAGACCAGGACTAAACCAGGACTAGACCAGGACTAGACCAGGACTAGACCAGGACTAGACCAGGACTGGACCAGGACTAAACCAGGACTAGGACCAGGACTAGACCAGGACTAGACCAGGACTAGACCAGGACTAGACCAGGACTAGACCAGGACTAAACCAGGACTAGACCAGGACTAGACCAGGACTGGACCAGGACTAGACCAGGACTAACCTTCCTCGACCTGCTGGATCTTGTGGGCGGCTCTTCCTCCGTCCATCATCAGGTCCAGGAGGAGACCACAGAAGGACTTCATCACAGGATGAGTCTGACTCACCTCCACCGACAGGAACTGAGTGTAGAACCAGTAACCTGCCGGACACAGGGAGACACAGGACGACTCAACTTCTGTCTGAACCCAAGACTCAGGGTCTTTGATTGACTTTGATGTGGACTTTACTCAGTGTCAGAGTCACTGTTTCTTGGCCAATTTTACATGATGTTTTTAATTCCAAATTAATTGTTCTGAATTAAAATATTCTCCTTGGAGTTTACATGTTAAACTCATTAGGACTAGACCAGGACTAGACCAGGACTAGACCAGGACTGGACCAGAACTAGACCAGGATTAAACCAGGACTAGACCAGGACTGGACCAGAACTAGACCAGGATTAAACCAGGACTAGACCAGGACTGGACCAGAACTAGACCAGGATTAAACCAGGACTAAACCAGGACTAGACCAGGATTAAACCAGGACTAAACCAGGCCCCTCCTTGAACCGTCACCTTATCGTGGTGGAGGGGTTTGATGCCCGAATGATCCCGGGAGCTATGTTGTCGGGGGCTTCATGCCCCTGGTCGGGTCACCCAAGGCAAACAGGTCCGGGGGGACGGGTCAGACGAAGAACGGTTCAGAAGCCCCTATGATGAATCACACACAGAGGCCAGTTACGTCGCCCGGATTGGCGTCACCGGGGCCTCACCCTGGAGCCAGGCCTGGGGTGGGTGCTCGTCAGCGAGCGCCTGGTGGCCGAGCCTCCCCCCACGGGGCTCGGCCGGGCTCAGCCCGAAGGAGCGACGTGGGGCCGTCCTCACGTGGGCCCACCACCCGCAGGAGGATCCATATGGGGCCGGTGCAGAGAGATCTGGGCGGCAGTCGACGGCGGGGGCCTCGGCGACCGGATCTCCGGACATGGAGACTGTGGCTCTGGGGACATGGAATGTCACCTCGCTGGGGGGGAAGGAGCCTGAGCTTGTGCGGGAGGTTGAGCGTTACCGACTAGATATAGTCGGCCTCACCTCCACGCACAGTTTGGGCTCTGGAACCCAACTCCTTGAGAGGGGCTGGACTCTCCATTTCTCTGGCGTTGGCCGCGGGGAGCGCGGCGGCTGGGTGTGTGTGTGTGTGTGGGGGGGGGGGGGGGTGGTGTGGCTCATTGCCCCACAGCTCAGTCGCTGTGTGTTGGAGTTCACCCCGGTGAACGAGAGGGTCGCGTCCCTGCGCCTTCGGGTCGGGGACAGGTCTCTCACTGTGGTGTTCGGCCTACGGGCCGAACAGCAGTGCAGAGTACTCGAGTACCCGGCCTTCTTGGAGTCCTTGGGAGGGGTACTAGACAGTGCACCGACCGGGGACTCCGTTGTTCTCCTGGGGGACTTCAACGCCCACGTGGGCAACGACAGTGACACTTGGAGAGGGGTGATTGGGAGGAACGGCCTCCCCGATCTGAACCCGAGTGGTGTTTTGTTATTGGACTTCTGTGCTAGTCACAGTTTGTCCATAACGAACACCATGTTCGAGCACAAGGGTGTCCATAAGTGCACGTGGCACCAGGACACCCTAGGCCGGAGGTCGATGATCGACTTTGTAGTCGTGTCATCTGATCTCCGGCCGCGTGTCTTGGACACTCGGGTGAAGAGAGGGGCTGAGCTGTCAACTGATCACCACCTGGTTGTGAGTTGGGTTCGCTGGCGGAGGAGGAAGCCGGAAAGACCTGGCAGGCCCAAGCGTGTAGTGAGGGTCTGTTGGGAACGTCTGGCAGAGCCTCTGTCAGAGGGACCTTTCAACTCGCACCTCCGGGAGGACTTCTCCCGTATTCCGGGGGAGGCCGGAGATATGGAGTCCGAGTGGGCTTCATTCTCGGCCTCTATTGTCAATGCAGCTGCTCGGAGCTGTGGGCGTAAGGTCTGTGGTGCCTGTCGCGGCGGCAACCCCAGAACCCGGTGGTGGACACCGGAAGTAAGGGATGCTGTCAAGCTGAAGAAGGAGTCCTATCGGGCCTTGCTGGCTCGGGGGACTCCTGAGGCAGCTGACAGGTACCGGCGGGCCAAGCGTGCTGCAGCCCGTGTGGTCGCGGAGGCAAAAACTCGGAGCTGGGAGGAGTTCGGGGAGGCCATGGAGAAGGACTATCGGACGGCCTCAAAGAGATTCTGGCAAACCGTCCGGCGCCTCAGGAGGGGAAAGCAGTTCTTCACCAACACTGTTTACAGTGCGGGGGGAGAGCTGCTGACCTCGACTGGGGACGTAGTCGGACGGTGGAAGGAAAACTTTGAGGATCTCCTCAATCCCACCGTCACGTCTTCCGAGGAGGAAGCAGAGACTGGGGACTCAGAGGCGGACTCATCCATCACCCTGGCTGAAGTCACTGAGGTGGTTGGAAAGCTCCTTGGTGGCAAGGCTCCGGGGTTGGATGAGATCCGTCCTGAGTACCTGAAGTCTCTGGATGTTGTGGGTCTTGGCTGACACGCCTCTTCAACATCGCGTGGCGGTCGGGGACAGTACCTCTGGACTGGCAAACCGGGGTGGTGGTCCCTCTGTATAAGAAGGGGGACCGGAGGGTGTGTTCCAACTATAGGGGGATCACACTTCCTCAGCCTTCCCGGTAAGGTCTATGCCAGGGACTGGAGAGGAGAATCCGGCCGATAGTCGAACCTCGGATTCAGGAGGAGCAGTGTGGTTTTCGTCCTGGCCGTGGAACACTGGACCAGCTCTACACTCTCCATCGGTGCTCGAGGGTTCATGGGAATTTGCCCAAACAGTCCACATGTGCTTTGTGGACTTGGAGAAGGCATTCGACCGTGTCCCTCGTGGTGTCCTGTGGGGGGTGCTCTGGGAGTATGGGGTCCGGGGCCCTTTGCTAAGGGCTGTCCGGTCCCTGTATGACCGGAGCAGGAGCTGTGTTCATTGCCGGCAGTAAGTCAGACCTGTTCCCGGTGCATGTTGGACTCCGCCAGGGCTGCACCTGTCACCGGTTCTGTTCATTGTATTTATGGACAGAATTTCTAGGCGCAGTCAGGGGCCGGAGGGGGTCCGGTTTGGGGACCACAGGATTTCATCTCTGCTGTTTGCGGACGATGTTGTCCTGTTGGCTTCATCGAACCAGGACCTGCAGTGTGCACTGGGGCGGTTTGCAGCCGAGTGTGAAGCGGCTGGGATGAAGATCAGCTCTTCCAAGTCCGAGGCCATGGTTCTCGACCGGAAAAAGGGTGGCTTGCCCTCTCCGGGTGGGTGGGAGAGTCTTTGCCTCAAGTGGAGGAGTTCAAGTATCTCGGGGTCTTGTTCACGAGTGAGGGAAGGACGGAACGTGAGATTGACAGGCGGATCGGTGCAGCTTCGGCAGTGATGCGGTCGCTGTATCGGACCGTTGTGGTGAAGAGGAGCTGAGTCGAAAGGCGAAGCTCTCGATTTACCGGTCAGTCTTCGTTCCTACTCTCACCTATGGTCATGAGCTCTGGGTAGTGACCGAAAGGACGAGATTGCAGATACAAGCGCTCGAAATGAGTTTCCTCCGCAGGGTGGCTGGGCGTCTCCCTTAGAGACAGAGTGAGGAGCTCAGTCACACGGGAGGAGCTCGGAGTAGAGCCGCTGCTCCTCCACGTCGAGAGGAGCCAGTTGAGGCTCGGGCATCTGTTCCGGATGCCTCCTGGGCGTCTCCCTCGGGAGGTGTTCTGGGCATGTCCCACCGGGAGGAGGCCCCGGGGAAGACCCAGGACACACTGGAGGGACTATGTCTCTGGGCTGGCCTGGGAACACCTCAGGGTTCCCCCGGAGGAGCTGGAGGACGTGTCTGGGGTGAAGGAAGTCTGGGAGTCCCTGCTTAGACTGATGCCCCCGCGACCCGGCCCCGGATAAGCGGACGAAAATGGATGGATGGATGGATAAACCAGGAAGACCAGGACTAGACCAGGACTAGACCAGGACTAGACCAGGACTAGACCAGGGACTAGACCAGGACCTAGACCAGGACTAGACCAGACTAGACCAGGACTAGACCAGGACAGACCAGACCAGGACAGACCAGGACTAGACCAGACCAGAGACCAGGACCAGACCAGACTAGACCAGACCAGACTAGACCAGGGTCAGACCAGGACCAGACAGACCAGGACTAGACCAGGACCAGGACAGACCAGGACTAGACCAGGACTAGACCAGGAGAGACCAAGATAGACCAGGACCAGGACCAGACCAGGACTAGACCAGGACTAGACCAGAGACCAGGACTAGACCAGGACCAGACCAGGACTAGACCAGGACTAGACCAGACTCAGACCAGGACTAGACCAGGACTAGAGCGTCTGGAGGTGGGGAGGTTCTGATTGGACAGAGACACAAACGACGTTGTTGATGAAACAACAGTTTAAATATTTACATAAAAAACATTTTATAAAATACAGAAATAGTTTAAATCTTCACAAAAAACATCTTCGATCAAACTCCACATTCAGTCCGTGAGGAGCGAGAGTCTGAAGTCTGTGAATCCAGAAGTGTCGCTTTTGACAGGAGCATTTCTAGATTCCACCTCTAGGGGGCAGTTCAGTCCGTACCTGGGTCGTAGTCCTGGTTCGGTCCTGGTTTAGTCCTGGTTTAGGTCCGTACCTGGGTCGTAGTCCTGGTTTACTACTGGTTCGGTCCTGGTTTAGTCCTGGTTCCGGTCCGTACCTGGGTCGTAGTCCTGGTTCGGTCCTGGTTTAGTCCTGGTTCGGTCCGTACCTGGGTCGTAGTCCTGGTTCGGTCCTGGTTTAGTCCTGGTTCGGTCCGTACCTGGGTCGTAGTCCTGGTTTAGTCCTGGTTTAGTCCTGGTTCGGTCCGTCCTGGTTTAGTCCTGGTTCGTTTAGTCCTGGTTTAGTCCTGGTTTAGTCCGTACCTGGTCCGTACCTGGTCCTGGTTTAGTCCTGGTTTAGTCCTGGTCCGGTCCGTACCTGGGTCCGTAGTCCTGGTTCAGTCCTGGTTTAGTCCTGGTCCGGTCCGTACCTGGGCTGTAGTCCTGGTTCAGTCCTGGTTTTAGTCCTGGTTTTAGTCCTGGTCGGTCCGTACCTGTCGTAGTCCTGGTTTAGTCCTGGTTTAGTCCTGGTTTAGTCCGTACCTGGTTTAGTCCTGGTTTAGTCCTGGTTTAGTCCTGGTTCGGTCCGTACCTGGGTCGTAGTCCTGGTTAGTCCTGGTTTAGTCCTGGTTCGGTCCGTACCTGGGTCGTAGTCCTGGTTTAGTCCTGGTTTAGTCCTGGTTCGGTCCGTACCTGGGTCGTAGTCCTGGTCAGTCCTGGTTTAGTCCTGGTTTAGTCCTGGTTCGGTCCGTACCTGGGTCGTAGTCCTGGTTTAGTCCTGGTTTAGTCCTGGTTCCGGTCCGTACCTGGGTCCTGGTTTAGTCCTGGTTTAGTCCTGGTTCGGTCCGTACCTGGGCTGTAGTCCTGGTTCAGTTCTGGTTAGTCCTGGTTTTAGTCCGTACCTGGTCGTAGTCCTGGTTCGGTCCTGGTTTAGTCCTGGTTTAGTCCGTACCTGGGTCGTAGTCCTGGTTCAGTCCTGGTTTAGTCCTGGTCCTGGGTCCGTTTAGTCCTGGGTCGTAGTCCTGGTTTAGTCCTGGTTTAGTCCTGGTTCGGTCCGTACCTGGGTCATAGTCCTGGTTCGGTCCTGGTTTAGTCCCGGTTCGGTCCGTACCTGGGTCGTAGTCCTGGTTCGGTCCTGGTTTAGTCCCGGTCCGGTCCGTACCTGGGTCGTAGTCCTGGTTTAGTCCTGGTTTAGTCCGTACCTGGGTCGTAGTCCTGGTTTAGTCCTGGTTTAGTCCTGGTTCGGTCCGTACCTGGGTCGTAGTCCTGGTTCAGTCCTGGTTTAGTCCTGGTCCGGTCCGTACCTGGGTCGTAGTCCTGGTTTAGTCTGGTTGTCCTGGTCCTGGTTTAGTCCGTACCTGGGCTGTAGTCCTGGTTCAGTCTGGTTTAGTCCTGGTTCAGTCTGTACCTGGGTCGTAGTCCTGGTTAGTCCTGGTTTAGTCCTGGTTCGGTCCGTACCTGGGTCGTAGTCCTGGTTTTAGTCCTGGTTTAGTCCTGGTTCCGGTCCGTACCTGGGTCGGTAGTCTGGTTCAGTCCTGTTTAGTCCTGGTTTAGTCCTGGTTCGGTCCGTACCTGGGTCGTTAGTCCTGGTTTAGTCCTGGTTTAGTCCTGGTTTAGTCCGTACCTGGGTCGTAAGTCCCTGGTTCAGTCTGGGTCCTTTAGTCCTGGTTTAGTCCGTACCTGGGCTGTAGTCCTGGTTCGGTCTGGTTTAGTCCTGGTTTTACGTACCTGGTCTGTAGTCCTGGTTTCAGTCCGGTTTAACCACCGTACCTGGGTCGTAGTCCTGGTTCGGTCCTGGTTAGTCCCGGTTTCCCGTACCTGGGTCGTAGTCCTGGGTTCGGTCTGGTTTAGTCCCGGTTCGGTCCTACCTGGGTTGTAGTCCTGGTTCGGTCCTGGTTTAGTCCTGGTTTAGTCCGTACCTGGGTCAGTCTGGTTTAGTCCTGGTTTAGTACCTGGTCGTAGTCCTGGTTAGTCCTGGTTTAGTCCTGGTCCGGTCCGTCTGGGTCGTAGTCCTAGTCCTGGTTAGTCCTGGTCCGGTCCGTACCTGGGCTGTAGTCCTGGTTTAGTCCCTGGAGTCCTGGTTTAGTCCTGGTCCGGTACCTTACCTGGTTTAGTCCTGGGTACCTGGGTCGGTCCTGGTTTAGTCCTGGTTTAGTCCGTACCTGGGCTGTAGTCCTGGTTCGGTCCTGGTTTAGTCCTGGTTCGGTCCGTACCTGGGTCGTAGTCCTGGTTTAGTCCTGGTTTAGTCCTGTTCGGTCCGTACCTGGGTCGTAGTCCTGGTCAGTCCTGGTTTAGTCCTGGTTTAGTCCTGGTTCGGTCCGTACCTGGGTCGTAGTCCTGGTTTAGTCCTGGTTTAGTCTGGTCCGGTCCGTAACCTGGGCTGTAGTCCTGGTTCAGTTCTGGTTTAGTCCTGGTTCAGTCTGTACCTGGGTCGTAGTCCTGGTTCGGTCCTGGTTTAGTCCTGGTTTAGTCCGTACCTGGGTCGTAGTCCTGGTTCGGTCCTGGTTTAGTCCTGGTTTGAGTCCGTACCTGGGTCGTAGTCCTGGTTTAGTCCTGGTTTAGTCCTGGTCCGGTCCGTACCTGGGTCGTAGTCCTGGTTCAGTCCTGGTTAGTCCTGGTTAGTCCTGGTTCGGTCCGTACCTGGGCTGTAGTCCTGGTCAGTTCTGGTTTAGTCCTGGTTCAGTCTGTACCTGGGTCGTAGTCCTGGTTCGGTCCTGGTTTAGTCCGGTCCGGTCCGTATCTGGGTCGTAGTCCTCGGTCTGGTTTAGTCCTGGTTTTAGTCCGGTTCGGTCCGTACCTGGTCGTAGTCCTGGTTTAGTCCCGTCCGGTCGTCCAGTCTACCTTCGGGCTTAGTCCTGGTTTAGTCCTTTAGTCCTGGTTCGGTCCCGGTTTACCCGTAGTCCTGGGTCCGTAGTCCTGGTTAGTCCCTGGTCCGGTCCGTACCTGGGTCGTAGTCCTGGTTTAGTCCTGGTTTAGTCCCGGTTCAGTCCGTACCTGGTTCGTAGTCCTGGTTTAGTCCTGGTTCGGTCTGTACCTGGGTCGTAGTCCTGGTAGTCCTGGTTTAGTCCTGGTCGGTCCGTACCTGGGTCGTAGTCCTGGTTTAGTCCCGGTTCGGTCCGTACCTGGGTCGTAGTCCTGGTTTAGTCCTGTTGTCCGTCTGTTTAGTCCTGTCGTTTAGTCCTGGTTCGGTCCTGGTTAGTCCGTAAGTCGTAGTCCTGGTGTAGTCCTGGTTTAGTCCGTACCTGGGTAGTAGTCCTGGTTTAGTCCTGGTTTAGTCCGTACCTGGGTCGTAGTCCTGGTTTAGTCCTGGTTTAGTTGGTTGGTACCTGGGTCGTAGTCCTGGTTCGGTCCGTACCTGGGTCGTAGTCCTGGTTTAGTCCTGGTTTAGTCCGTACCTGGGTCGTAGTCCTGGTTTAGTCCTGGTCCGGTCCGTACCTGGGTCGTAGTCCTGGTTTAGTCCTGGTTTAGTCCGTACCTGGGTCGTAGTCCTGGTTTAGTCCTGGTTAGTCCGTCCGTACCTGGGTCGTAGTCCTGGTTTAGTCCTGGTTTAGTCCTGGTTCGGTCCGTACCTGGGTCGTAGTTCCTGGTTTTAGTCCCGGTTCGGTCCGTACCGGTTCGTTTAGTCCTGGTTTAGTCCTGGTTGGGGTAGTCTGGTTTAGTCCTGGTTCGTCCTGGTTTAGTCCGGTTTCGGTCCGTACCTGGGTTCGTAGTCCTGGTCCGGTCCTGGTCCCTTACCTGGGTCATAGTCCTGGTTTAGGGGTCCAGTCCGTAGTCCTGGTTTAGTCCGTACCTGGGTCGTACCTGGGTCCGTAGTCCTGGTAGTAGTCCGGTTTAGTCCTGGGTCCTGGTTTAGTCCTGGTACCTGGTCGTTAGTCCTGGTTTTAGTCCTGGTTAGTCCAGTACCTGGGGTCGTAGTCCTGGTTTAGTCCTGGTTAGTCCTGGTTTAGTCCCGGTCCGTAGTCCCGGTCCGTACCTGGGTCGTAGTCCTGGTTAGTCCGTACCTTCGGTCCTGGTTTATCCCGGTTCGGTCCGTACCTGGGTCTAGTCGTTTAGTCCTGGGGTTAGTCCTGGTTTAGTCCTGGTTTTCTGGTTCGGTCCGTACCTGGGTCGTAGTCCTGGGTTTAGTCCTGTTTAGTCCTGGTCCGGTCCGTACCTGGGTCCGTTTAGTCCTGGTTAGTCCTGGTTTAGTCCTGGGTCCGGTCCGTACCTGGGTCGTTAGTCCTGGTTTAGTCCTGGTTTAGTCCTGTCCGGTCCGTACCTGGTCGTAGTCCTGGTTCGGTCCTGGTTTTAGTCCTGGTTCGGTCCGTACCTGGGTCGTAGTCCTGGTTGTCCTGGTTCGGTCCTGGTTAGTCGTAGGCGTTTAGTCCTGGTTTCCGGTCCGTTTACCTGGGTGTAGTCCTGGTTAGTCCTGGTTTCGGTCCGTACCTGGTCGTAAGTCCTGGTTTAGTCCTGGTTTAGTCCCTGGTTCGGTCCGTACCGGGTCTAGTCCGTCCTGGTTTAGTCCTTACCTGGGGTCGTCCTGGTTTAGTCCTGGTTTAGTCCGTACCTGGGTCGTAGTCCTGGTTTAGTCCGGTTCGGTCCGTACCTGTCGTAGTCCTGTTTAGTCCTGGTTTAGTCCCTGGTTCCGGTCCGTACCTGGTCGTAGTCCTGGTTAGTCCTGGTTTAGTCCTGGTTTAGTCCCGGTTCGGTCGTACCGGGTCGTAGTCCTGGTTTAGTCCTGGTTTAGTCCCGGTTCGGTCCGTACCTGGGGTCGTAGTCCGTTTAGTCCCGGTTCGGTCCGTACCTGGTCCGTCCTGGTTAGTCCCGGTCGGTCCGTACCTGGGTCGTAGTCCTGGTTTAGTCCTGGTTTAGTCCTGGGTTCGGTCCGTACCTGGGTCGTAGTCCTGGCTGGTCCGGTGCAGGAGGCTCAGGTCGGTCCGGCCCATGTGGATCAGGTTGTAAACGGCCGAGATCAGGATCCTCCACATCGACACCAACAAACCGACTACAGAATTCACCAGGAACAACAAGTAGGTGAGGAGGAACAGGGAGTCCCTACAAAGACAAGAACCAGAACTGAACCAGGTCTGAACCAGAACTGAACCAGGTCTGAACCAGGTCTGAACCAGAACTGAACCAGAACTAAACCAGGTCTAAACTCAGACTTGTTCTTCTTGTTCCCGTTTACATTCGATGTTGTTGAGATGTTCATAGGTTTTGTTTTTCAGACCTGTTGTCGATGTCTGTGGTTCCAGACTCTTTCTTCACGAACATGAACTTGGCCGTGACGTGTTGAAGAACCGTGACGAGGATCAGGGTCACCCACGCCGACCTGCCAGGGGTCAAAGGTCACGAGGTTTAGACTGAGCCGAGGTTTGGGACGGTTCAGGGTTTAAAGTTTAGGGTTTGCGGTTCAGGGTTTGAGGTTTAGGGTTCGGGGTTTAGGGTTCGGGGTTTAAGGTTTAGAGTTTAGGGTTTGAGGTTTGGGGTTAGAGGCTTAGGGTTTAGGTTGCAGGGTTTAGGTTTCAGGGTTTAGGGTTTGAGGTTTAGGGTTTAGGGTTTAGAGTTCGGGGTTTAGGGTTCAGGGTTTAGAGTTCGGGGTTTAGGGTTCGGGGTTTAGGGTTCAGGGTTTAGAGTTCGGTAGGTTCGGGTTTAGGGTTTCGGGTTTAGAGTTCGGGTTTAGGGTCGGGGTTTAAGGTTCAGGCTTTAGGGTTTAGGGTTCAGGGTTAGGGTTTAGGTTTCAGGGTTCAGGGTTTGGGTTTAGGGTTTTAGAGTTCGGGGTTTAGGGTTCAGGTTTAAGTTAGGGTTTGGGTTGGTTTAGGGTTGGGTTCAGTTTAGGTTTAGAGTTCGGGGTTTAGGGTTCGGGGGTTTAGGGTTTAGGGTTTGGAGTTTAGGGTTGGAGGTTTAGGGTTTGGGTTTAGAGTTCGGGGGTTTAGGGTTCAGGGTTTAGAGTTCGGGGTTTTAGGGTTCGGGGTTTAGGGTTCAGGGTTTAGAGTTCGGGGTTTAGGGTTCGGGGTTTAGGGTTTAGAGTTTAGGGTTTGGGGTTTAGAGGCTTAGGGTTTAGGGTTCAGGGTTTAGAGTTCGGGGTTTAGGGTTCAGGGTTTAGAGTTCGGGGTTTAGGGTTCGGGGTTTAGGGTTCAGGGTTTAGAGTTCGGGGTTTAGGGTTCAGGGTTTAGGGTTCGGGGTTTAGAGTTCGGGGTTTAGAGTTCGGGGTTTAAGGTTTGGAGTTCAGGGTTCGAGGTTCATGAGGCACAGACCAGGTGTGAGCCGCCTGTTCGAACATCAGCAGGTTCCTCCCGTAAAACACCGGGACGATCACCAGGAAGACGAGGAAGAGGAAGCAGATGAAGAACACCACCGTCTGGAGAACCATGCCTGAACAAAACACCAACGTATGTCGAGTTGGGAAAGTTCATTTTCCACATGAACCAGCTCAAAGTTCAGTTCACAAATTTCAAAATAAACAGCAAACGACAGACAGCAAATATTTGATCAGTTTTAACAATGAAACTATGTGTTAGTTTTCATCTTCATATCAAAATTTTGAAACTTTCTCCAGTCAGGGTTCACGTGAGCGTTTATGTTTATGGAACATTTCTCCAGTGTTGCTCTGTTCAGTCACACAAGGAGCAGCTGCAGGTTTCACCCCGACACTTTATTCTCAAAAAACACGAGGGAAAACTTTCTACTTGAATAGTCTTTTTTGATTATATATTAAAAACGGGTCGTTCCACGCCAGATCTCCGAATGTCCCGCTCGACCATCTCAGATTTGACTGAAAAAATTCTAGGAGGTTCACAAACTTTCCAACATGAAAAGTCTTAAATTTTATATCCCAACTCCTTATAGTTTTGTCATTAAAAATATTTTATCATTTTCCCCCTGACCTGCTTTAAGATGAGCCACTCTTAGTTTTCTGTATCTAAAAAACTATTTAAGGTCCTTCAGATTTTCAAGGGTTAGAATTTGTCAAATGTTCTTGTAGAATCTGGACTTTTACACATGTGATTTTGGTTTATCACAGATTTCAGGGGCTTGATTTTGCTTGAAAATTCTCCTTCAAATGTGAGGGCGTCTTTGAAGGACTGTGGAATGTTCAGTTTTAAAGACAGAGGTTTGATATTGAAAGTGTCTTCATCGTCCACGGACGCTCCACATGTGCTGACGCCACATTTTCAGAAATTCATTTTGCAAAAATAAGACAGAACAGCATCACAAATGTTGGAGATGTTAAAAACAGACATCTAGTTTTCTAGAATGGTCCATTTTATGTTGGTGGGTGCTTAAGTTTTTTGGTATAACATGGTGAAAATGGCACCAAATGTATTTTGTTCCATTTTGAACACTTAATATCTTGTAGATCACAGGTGTCAAACATACGGCCCGGGGGCCAGATCCGGCCCTCCAAGACCTTTAATCTGGCCCTCGGCTGATTTTCTACTCAAATATTTGAATGATATTTTCTATTAAAATCTTGTTAATTTTCTGTGGTGTTTATCACAGCAGCGTCTCCAGCGTCTCTGTACGTGGCCCCTCCCACCAGAGCAGCACAAATGAAGACTTGTCTCTTTCCAAACGTCTTAAAGGACGATCGTTTTGACTGTTGACCGTGACACCCTCATCAGAAAAATGTCCAACATGAGAAAAGTGGAGCCGAGTGCAGGATTTTACAACAAAAATGGACTTATTCCTGTTTACAGACAAGTTCATGTTAAAACTTTGTGTTGAAATTGTATTTTTCTTAAAGTTTCAGGTTGTTCATAATATTATAATATTTAGTAAAAGAAAGAGTTCATCAATTAAAAAAGATTTCTGTAATAGATTTGTGTTTCTCTGCACAAATATTTGAACTTATTGTTATTTTTGTTTATATGACATGAGTTTTCTGATCCGGACACTTTGGATCAAAGTCGGTTGGACACGACCCCCGGAACAAAATGAGTTTGACTCTCCTGTTGTCGATCGTTCATCACAGAGGCTCAGTTTTAAAATACAAAATCGACAGTGTCGTGTGTGGGAAGGTTTATGTTCAATATCAAACCTCTGTCTGTGAAACTGAACTTTCCACAGTCCTTCAAACACCCTCACATTTGAAAAGGAGAATTTTCAAGCAAATTCAAGCCCCCAGAATTCAGATAAACCAAAACGCTCACGTGTAAAAGTCCAGATTCTACAAGTACATCTGACAAATTTTAACCCTCGAAAAGACGCAGAACCTTAATGGAACAAAGTCAAACAGAAGCACGTGTCGTTCACAGACACGAAGATGAACGAGCTCACGGTTTGTTCATCAGACACGAACACCGCGAGTTCAGTTCACGTTCAGTCAAAATATGAACGTTCAGGTACAACACTGAATATCTGTAACGTCTGTTTCCATGACAACGCCTGTCCACAAAACCGCTGTGATTCCAGTGTTTTTTGCAGCGTTTTTTTTTTTTTTAACTTTACTGATTTGGAGTTTAAAGCTGCATTGTGTAACTTTTCCATCAGATGCTTTTCTCCACGGAGATATTATTGTTTTGTCTGGAATGTTTCACAGCGCGGCTTTAAACCTTTCTATCTTCATGGAGACCAAACCAAGACCAAGTTACAGGTCAGATCCGTGGAGAGGCGAGATCATTTGAAGCTATAAAAAACGCCCGTAATGGAAATAATGTAAAGTAGAGCAGTTTAATGTCACACCGTGGAACATTTGAAGCAGGGCAATGACATCTCCATAGAAACAAGACGGTGATGGACCCCCAACCGAAAAGTGACTTAGTGCAGCTTTAATGGTTGTATAAGAGTAAAACATGACTTACTGCTCCAGAAAATGTCACTTTTACAGAAATAAAAAATATAAAATAATGGGACTTATTCTTTAACATTTGGAGGTTCAGTCTCATAATCAACCAGTGCACTCTGTCATTGTGTCTTTGGGCAAGACACTTCACACACCTACATGAATATGAATGTGGTGTGTAACTTTGTGGTGTTTCGAATGGCTGAAAGTGAAGTTTTTTTTTTTTTCTCTCTTTCTTGTTCTTTTTTTCTGGTGCAGTTCCTTACCCAGACTGTAGAGGGCGGCCTGATATCCCACCAGCCCCATCCAACAAACCACACCCCCCGGACTGGGCTCCAGAGCTTTGTGTCGGCTGAAGATCTCACACATGTCTCCTCTGTACAAGGCCCGAAGGTTTGACCTGAACGTACACAAACATACTGTCTTTTTCAGAGTAAAAACGACATTTCCTGTGTAAAGTCAAGTTGTAGTAAAAACAACAGAAGAGAAGAACAACAGACTGTTAACGTCACATATGAACAGATAAACTATAAACAACAGAACAAGTTTAACAAACTCTCATCTCACTCCAAATCACTAAATCACTTTCAGTTTCTTTCATAGACCTCGGTGTCTGGTTTAGCTTCTGAACAGACTCGACCTCGACTAGTCCGGAGGGAAACAGAGCGACACAAACTCTTCTGTGTCGCTGTCGTCAGACTCAGACTCAGACTCAGACTCAGACTCAGGTCCAGTTAGAATTATTCAGGTCTTTCTGAATCTCGACAGTTTAGATGTTTCAGTGTCATCTAGAGAGGACCTCTAGTTTAGAGTTTAGACCTGGTTTAGACCTGGTTTAGAGTTTAGATCTAGTTTTGGTTTAGACCTAGGTTTAGACCTGGTTTAGATCTAGTTTAGATCTTAGGTTAGTTTAGACCTGGTTTAGACCTGTTTAGATTAGATCTTGGTTTAGATCCAGGTTTCCTGAGTCTAGTTTAGATCTTTAGAGGTTTAGACCTGGTTTAGACCTAGATCTAGTTTAGACCTAGTTTAGATCTTGGTTAGATCTAGTTTAGATCTAGTTTAGACCTGGTTTCTGGTTTAGATCTAGTTTAGAGTTTCTGGTTTAGATTTTTTTTTTAGACCTAGATCTAGTTTAGAGGTTTAGTTTCTAGGTTTAGATTAGTTTAGATCTAGTTTAGACCTGGTTTAGACCTGGTTTAGATCTAGTTTAGATCTAGTTTAGATCTTAGACTGGTTTAGACCTGGTTTAGAGTTTAGACCTAGTTTAGTTTAGATCTAGACCTGGTTTAGACCTGGTTTAGACCTGGTTTAGATCTAGTTTAGACCTAGTTTAGTTTAGATCTAGTTTAGACTTTAGATCTAGTTTAGATCTAGTTTAGACCTGGTTTAGTGTCCGGCAATGAGTTGAATTACTGAAAAAAATAAATAAATAAAAAATGTGTGGGGGATTTAGCCCAAAATGTGAAAACAGGAAAATCCCTCTGTTTAATCCATTTATTTCAACAAAGTAACTGTAATCTAATTACTCCTCACTGAAACAGTAACTGTAACTGAATACAGTTACTCATCATTTGTACTCTGATTACATAACTCCAGTACATGTAATCTGTTACTCCTCAACATTGGGTGTCAGACAGGTGTTTGACAGGTGCGTCAGGTGTTTGACAGGTGTTTGACAGGTGTTTGACAGGTGTTTACAGTGTGTCAGGTGTTGACAGGTGCGTCAGGTGTTTGACAGGTTTGACAGTGTCAGGTGTTTGACAGGTGCAGTTTGTCAGGTGTTTGACAGGTGCGTCAGGTGTTTGACAGGTGTTTGACAGTCAGGTGTTTGACAGGTGTTTGACAGGTGTGTTACAGGTGCGTCAGGTGTTTGACAGGTGCGTCAGGTGTTTGACAGGTGTTTGACAGGTGTTTGACAGGTGTTTGACAGGTGCGTCAGGTGTTTGACAGGTGTTTGACAGGTGCGTCAGGTGTTTGACAGGTGTGTTACAGGTGCGTCAGGTGTTTGACAGGTGTTTGACAGTGTGTTACAGGTGCGTCAGTTGTTTGACAGGTGTTTGACAGGTGTTTGACAGGTGTTGACAGGTGTGACAGGTGTTTGACAGGTGTTTGACAGGTGCGTCAGGTGTTTGACAGGTGTTTGACATGTGTGACAGGTGTTTGACAGGTGTGTTACAGGTGCGTCAGGTGTTTGACAGGTGTTTGACAGGTGTGTTACAGGTGTGACAGGTGTTTGACAGGTGTTTTGACAGGTGTTTGACAGGTGTGTTACAGGTGTGTTACAGGTGCGTCAGGTGTTTGACAGTGTTTGACAGTGTGACACAGTGTTTGACAGGTGTTTGACAGGTGTTTGACAGGTGTTACAGGTGTTTGACAGGTGTTTGACAGGTGTTTGACAGTGTGACAGGTGTTTTGACAGGTGTGGTGTTTGACAGTGTGACAGGTGTTTGACAGGTTTGACAGTGTTTGACAGGTGTGTGACAGTGTGTTACAGGTGCGTCAGGTGTTTGACAGGTGTTTGACAGGTGCGTCAGGTGTTTGACAGGTGTTTGACAGGTGTTTGACAGGTGTTTGACAGGTGTTTGACAGGTGTGACAGGTGTTTGACAGGTGCGTCAGGTGTTTGACAGGTGTGACAGGTGTTTGACAGGTGTGACAGGTGTTTGACAGGTGTTTGACAGGTGTTTGACAGGTGTTTGACAGGTGTGACAGTGGCAGGACTGACCTGTGCTGGAGCATGGACTTCATGAGCATGAGGAGACTGACCACGATGGACAGAGTCATAGCACAAAGATAACAGACTGAAAGAAAGAGAGGAGGGAGAGAAGAGAAGAAGAGGAGGAAGAGGAGGAAGAGAGAAGAGAGAGAGAAGAGAGAGGAGGAGGTGAGAGAGGGAGAGAGGAGAAAGAGCAAGGAGGAGAGAGAGGGAGGAGGAGGAGGGAGGGAATGGGAGAAAAGAGAGAGGAGGAGAGAGAAAAGAGGGAGGATAGAGAGAGAAGAGGGTGAGACAGAAAGAGAGAGAGGAGTAGGGAGAAGAATGAAGAGAGAGGGAGGAAGAGAGAGAGGAAAGAGGAGAAGAGAAAGGAGAGAGAGAGGGAGAAGGGGAGAGGGAGAGAAAGGGAGGAAGAGAGGAGGATGAAGCAGAGAAGAGAGAGAAGGTGAGAGAGAGGAGGAGGGAGAAGGAGAAAGAGGGAGGAAGAGCGGAGGAGAGGGAGGAAGAGAAGAGCGAGGAAGAGAGGAGGAGAGAGAAGAGAAGAGGAGAGAGAGAGGGAGGAAGAAAGGAGGGAGAGAGAAAAATGAGAGGAGGAGAGACAGGGAGGGAGGAGAGGAGAGAGGAGGAGCAGGAGAGAGTTTAAGGAGGAGGGAGAGAAAAAAGATGAATAAAGTGAAAAGGAGAAGATAATAGAGAAAAAGTGAGAGGAAGAGGAGAGAGAAAAGAAGAAAGAAGGAGAAAAGAAGGAGGGACAGAAGGAGATAAGAGATGGAGAGATACATGGATAGAAAAAGAGAGAAAGAAAGAAAGAGGGAGGGAGATGTTTAGATTAAATAACTGCAGTAACGTGTTGAGGCGGCCATATTGGAGCTGTAGAGTGGAGGGGGTCTGTACCTTCCAGGAGCCATGTGTAATAGACCAGGATCTGCACCGTCTCCTGCCGATCTTCCGACAGAACGATCCCGAAGCCCATCATCAGGTAGAACATGTTCTCGTCGATCCCGGCGCGCACGATGTGGAGCGTCGGAACCACCAGGACGATCAGGAGGAGCGACGTCTGCGGAGAGGAGAGCCCGGTGTAACGCGAGTCTAACCCGGCGGCGAGACTCCGGTCATACTCACGTGGTAAATGCAGACGAAGGACACGAACGCTCCGACGGAAAACTTCAGAGGAAACCGGAAAACTGTGAAAGAGCGAGAATTAAAAAAAATAAAAATAAAAAACGTGAACAAAACCTTCAAAATGTAAAAGTTGTTGAGTTTTCAGACAATCTTAAAACCTTTCCGGCAGTGTTTTCAAATGTGTGCGTTGATGTGTCTCCATGGTGACTGCTGAACATTCTACCATAGAGATACATGTAGAACACAGACCTTTCTCTGGGACGTAGATGTAACTCTTGGGCAGCTCCAGGATCCTCTGCACCAGACCGGACTGATCTGAGACACACGAACTAAACGAGAGAGACAGAAAACACTCTGTACCACCTTGTGATGTCATCATGTGGTGATACAAGAAGTGCTCTGCTGTGTTTTTAAAGCTCCACACACCTTCACTAGAATCGTTTGGATCATTTCAGTCCTGGAACTGTTGATCTCAACTGAACTAAAGGTAAAAGGAGCTGTTCACTTGAAAACCACGACTTCATGACATCACAAGGTGGAACAGAGCGTTAATGTTACACCTCACTGTTTGTTTTTAGTTTAGTTTTGTTCAGTTTTTGTTTTATATCAGAAAACATAATCATCCATCCATGTTCTTCCTTTTATCCGGGAGCCGTGTCAAGGAGCATCAGTCTAAACAGGAACTCCCAGACTTCCTTCACCCCAGACACTTCCTCCAGCTCCTCCAGTGGGACCTGAGGTGTTCCCAGTCCAGTCCAGAGACATCGTCCCTCCAGTGTGTCCTGGGTCTCCTCCTCCAGGTGGGACATGAACACCTCCTGAGGGACACGTCCAGGAGACGTCAGAACAGACGTCCTCCCCTCAGACGCTCCTCTCCACGTGGAGGAGCAGCGGCTCTACTCCGAGCTCCTCACTCTGTCTCTAAGGGAGACGCCCGGACGCCCTGAGGAGGAAACTCATCTGTGTCGTTTGTGTCGTGGATCTGGTCCTTCGGGTCATGACCAGAGGTGAGGGGAGGAACAGAGACTCAGCTCCTCTTCACCACAACGACCGATACAGAGACCACATCACTGCCCACGCTGCACCTGTCCACCTGTCAATCTGCCCATGCTGCACCTGTCCACCTGTCAATCTGCCCACGCTGCACCTGTCCACCTGTCAATCTGCCCACGCTGCACCTGTCCACCTGTCAATCTGCCCATGCTGCACCTGTCCACCTGTCAATCTCATGCTGCACCTGTCCACCTGTCAATCTGCCCACGCTGCACCTGTCCACCTGTCAATCTCATGCTGCACCTGTCCACCTGTCAATCTGCCCACGCCTGCACCTGTCCACCTGTCAATCTGCCCATGCTGCACCTGTCCACCTGTCAATCTGCCACCTGTCCACCTGTCAATCTGCCCATGCTGCACCTGTCCACCTGTCAATCTCTCGCCGCACCTGTCCACCTGTCAATGTCACGCTGCACCCGTCCACCTGTCAATCTGCACCCTGCACCTGTCCACCTGTCAATCTCACGCCGCACCTGTCCACCTGTCAATCTGCCCACGCTGCACCTGTCCACCTGTCAGTCTCACGCCGCACCTGTCCACCTGTCAATCTGCCCACGCCGCACCTGTCCACCTGTCAATCTCACGCCGCACCTGTCCACCTGTCAATCACCTCACTGCCGCACCTGTCCACCTGCAATCTCTCGCACCTGTCCACCTGTCAATCTCACGCCGCACCTGTCCACCTGTCAGTCTCTCGCTCCATCCTCCCGTCGCTCCAGAACAAGACCCTGACAGACTTGAACTCGTCCACTTGAGGCAGAGACTCTCCACCCGGAGACGACGAGACGCGTTTATCTGGTCCAGAACCTCGACCTCGGATCTGGAGGAGCCGATCCTCACCCCAGACGCTTCACACTCGGGTCAAACCCCAGAGCTGCAGGTCCTGGTCCGATGAAGACGACAGGACAAAACAGCAGAGATGATCCTGTGGTCCCCAAACCGGACCAAACCGGACCAAACCGGACCAAACCGGACCAAACCAATCGGACCAAACTGGACCCCCTCTGGCCCCTGACTAGAATTTCTGTCCATAAAAACACTGAACAGAACAGGTCTGACTTACTGCCGGCAATGCGGATGTGAAAACGTAATCAATATTTGAATTATTTTTAAACGGCGTCCATTTTAGGTCGACCTGTAGAAGACAACACGTGTCCTGTCACCTGGATGAGGGCTTCTTCTTGAGCAGCTCCTTCACGTACTCGGTGTAGTAGCTGCTGTCCAGGTCCTGACAAACACACTTCAGTCAGACGAACGTTTTCAGATCCACTTACATGTGACTCTGTGTTCAGACCTGCTCGTGCTCCGGTCCTTTGACGAAGAGGAGGACGAAGCGAACGCAGAGGAAGAAGAGGCAGAGGAGCTGAGGCAGCGACGCCAGGAGAGAGTAGAACTTATACAACTGAGGAAACAGAAACGATACAAGTAAATATAGAGAAATACACAGACTCCAGACTTTCTACAAGGAAACTAAACATGGACTCGGTGTCTCAGGTCATAACGCTGGAGACGACCTCAGAGATCTGAACCAGGACCTAACCTGGACTCTAAACCAGGACTCTAAACCAGGTCTAAACAAGGACTGTGCAGTGCCTCAGGGTCCACACCAGGACTAAACCCAGATATGATGGTACAGAGGGTCTAAACCAGGTCTAAACTCAGACTTGGTGATACCTCAGGCCTCTAAACCAGGACTAAACAGGTTCTTTACCTCAGAGGACTAAACCAGGTTTAAACCCGGCCTTTCTAGTTAACTCAGGGGTTTAAGGACCGGTCTAAACCTGGTCTCTGTACCTTGGAGGTCTTGGGGCAGGCCTAAACCTGGTCTAAACAGGTCTCTGTACCTCAGGGGTCTTGGGGCAGGTCTAAACCCGGTCTAAACAGGTCTCTGTACCTCAGGGGTCTTGGGGCAGGTCTAAACCCGGTCTAAACCAGGTCTCTGTACCTGAGGGGTCTTGGGACCAGTCTAAATCTGGTCTAAACTTGGTCTTTGTAGGTACCTCAGGGGTCTTGGGGCAGGTCTAAACCTGGTCTAAACCTGGTCTCTGAACCTCTGGGGTCTTGGGGCAGGTCTAAACCCGGTCTAAACCCAGTCTTTGTAGGTACCTCGGGGTCTTGGGGCAGGTCTAAACCCGGTCTAAACGGTCTCTGAAGGTACCTCGGGGGTCTTGGGGCAGGTCTAAACCCGGTCTAAACCCTGGTCTTTGTAGGTACCTCGGGGGTCTTGGGGCAGGTCTAAACCCGGTCTAAACCCGGTCTTTGTAGGTACCTCGGGGTCTTGGGCAGGTCTAAACCCGGTCTAAACCCGGTCTTTGTAGGTACCTCGGGGGTCTTGGGGCAGGTCTAAACCCGGTCTAAACCTGGTCTTTGTAGGTACCTCGGGGGTCTTGGGGCAGGTCTAAACCCGGTCTAAACCCGGTCTTTGTAGGTACCTCGGGGTCTTGGGGCAGGTCTAAACCCGGTCTCTTTGTAGGTACCTCGGGGGTCTTGGGGCAGGTCTAAACCCGGTCTTTGTAGGTACCTCGGGGTCTTGGGGGGTAAACCCGGTCTTTGTAGGTACCTCGGGGGTCTTGGGGCAGGTCTAAACCCGGTCTAAACCCGGTCTTTGTAGGTACCTCGGGGGTCTTGGGGCAGTCGACCTTCTGCCAGAGCAGCACGGCTCCGTGGCTGAAGGAGAGGAGGGTCCCGAGGAGGTACCCGGTGCGGCGCTGCAGGGTGGAGCAGACCAGCAGGGGGCAGTAGAGCAGCGGGTAATAGAAGATGGACACGATCTTCAGATACTCTGAGAGAAACGGCAAAGGTCAGAGCTCGGACGGGGACATGGAAGAAGATCTACAGTGTTTGTGTGTCTGTGGTTCTGATCTCTGACACTGTGGATCATTAAGTTACAAATGTGACATTTTAAATCACAATATTGATCTAAAACGACTTCAAAAAAGAAAAAAGTGCAACGACTTCAATGATCCAATGATGTTCAATGGAGCAAATGTGACTTTAAACATCACAATAACAAAGTGCCGCATGGACTAAACCAGGACTAAACCAGGACCAAACTAGGACCAAACCAGGACTATACAAGGACTAAAGACTAAACCAGGACTAAACCAGGACCAAACCAGGACTAAACCAGGACTAAACCAGGACCAAACCAGGACTAAACCAGGACCAAACCAGGACTACCAGGACCAAACCAGGACTAACAGGACAAACCAGGACAAACCAGGACTAAACCAGGACTAAACAGGAAAACCAGGACTAAAACCAGGACTAAACCAGGACTAAACCAGACTAACCAGGACCAAACCAGGACTAAACCAGGACTAAACCAGACTAAACCAGGACAAACCAGGACTAAACCAGGACTAAACAGGACCAAACCAGGAAAACCAGGACTAAACCAGGACCAGGACTAAACCAGGACTAAACCAGGACCAAACCAGGACCAAACCAGGACTAAACCAGGACCAAACCAGGACCAAACCAGGACTAAACCAGGACCAAACCAGGACTAAACCAAGACTAACCCAGGACTAAACCAGGACTAACCAGGACTAAACCAGGACTAAACCAGGCTGTGGGCTCCTCCTGTGGAGCTGCACTTCACACTAGTGGACTTTTATTAACTAGTTTTTATGTTTGAGGTGATGGGGGCGTGTCCTCGTGAGGGGGCGTGTCCTCGTGAGGGGGAGGCAGTACCGGAAAACTGGATAAGCCCCTCCCCCTCTGTCCAGACTAGTGGTCGCTCCAGGTACTGCAGCTCCGGGGGTTTGGGCCCAGAAGGAATTCTCCCACAGAGCACAATGCATTTTGGGAATTCAAAGTGCCCGTGTTCTTCAGGGTGTCCGGCTTTCACGAAGGTCAGATTTTGTAGGAAAAAATTTAAATCCTCAAAGCGCCTAAAGTGATCTTTGTCAGACTTATCCTTGTCGCTCTAGCAGCTCTCGCTCTGATTGGTCCATCGGAATCATCTTCCAGAAGTTCTATGGAGTGTGTACCTTTGACATGAGGGGGCGTGTACCTTTGACATGAGGGGGCGTGTACCTTTGACATGAGGGGGCGTGTACCTTTGACATGAGGGGGCGTGTTACCTTTGACATGAGGGGGCGTGTACCTTTGACATGAGGGGGCGTGTACCTTTGACATGAGGGGGCGTGTACCTTTGACATGAGGGGGCGTGTACCTTTGACATGAGGGGGCGTGTACCTTTGACATGAGGGGGCGTGTACCTTTGACATGAGGGGGCGTGTACCTTTGACATGAGGGGGCGTGGGGGCGTGTTGACATGGGGGGCGTGTACCTTTGACATGTGGGGCGTGTACCTTTGACATGAGGGGGCGTGTACCTTTGACATGAGGGGGCGTGTACCTTGACATGAGGGGCGTGTACCTTTGTGTACCTTTGACATGTGGGGGCGTGTACCTTTGACATGAGGGGCGTGTACCTTGACATGAGGGGGCGTGTACCTTTGACATGGGGGCGTGTACCTTTGACATGGGGCGTGTACCTTTGACATGTGGGGCGTGTACCTTTGACATGGGGGGGCGTGTACCTTTTGACATGAGGGGGCGTGTACCTTTGACATGAGGGGCGGGCGTGTACCTTTGACATGTGGGGGCGTGTCCTGTGAGGGGGCGTGTTCCTTTGAGTGAGGGCGTGTACCTTTGAGGTGGGGCGTGTCCCGTGAGGGGGCGTGTACCTTTTGGGGTGTACCTTGGGGGCGTGTACCTTTGGGGTGAGGAGGCGTGTCTTCGTGAGGGGGCGTGTACCTTTTAGGTTAGGGGCGTGTCCTCGTGAGGGGGCGTGTACCTTTTACGTGGGGGGCGTGTACCTTTGAGGTGAGGGGCGTGTACCTTTTGAGTGAGTGGGGCGTGTACCTTTAAGGTGAGGGGGCGTGTACCTTTTGAGGTGAGGGGGCGTGTACCTTTGAGGTGAGGGGGCGTGTACCTTTGAGTGAGGGGCGTGTACCTTTGAGGAGAGGGGGCGTGTACCTTTAAGTGAGGGGGCGTGTCCTGGTGAGTGGGCGTGTACCTTTGAGGTGAGGGGGCGTGTCCTCGTGAGGGGGCGTGTACCTTTGAGGTGAGGGGGCGTGTCCTTGTAGAAGGGCAGGGGGTCCGGGGCGATCACGCTCACGGCCAGTTTACTGAAGACCAAACCGAACACGGCCAAGACCAGAGACTTGTCCTGGGTCTGGTCCAGGAAGTTCACCGGACTGAAGGGACAACAGAGAGACAGGTGCAGACAGGTGAGACAGGTGCAGACAGGTGCAGACGGGTGCAGACAGGTGCAGACAGGTGCAGACAGGTGGTTAAGTCACATGATGTCGTCTTTATGATAGTTTTCGGTCTTAAGTGTTTTAGTTTTAAAGTGTGTGAGGTGAACAGATTTGCACAAGTGAACACAGACAGGTGCAGACAGGTGCAGACAGGTGCAGACAGGTGCAGACAGGTGCAGACAGGTGCAGACAGGTGATCACACGGTGCAGTTTTCAGTGCCGTGTGTTTGTTTGAGGACAGACCTGAAGATGGAGGAGGCTCCGCGGGTGAAGCCCTCACACAGTTTGTTCTTTCTGCTCAGAAACGCCAGAACCAACAGCGCCACCAACTGGACACACACAGACACGACAAACATCTGACTGTTAAAACCAACAGCGCCACCAACTGGACACACAGAGACACGACAAACATCTGACTGTTAAAACCAACAGCGCCACCAACTGGACACACACAGACACGACAAACATCTGACACCAAGACAGAGGAATAAAGAAGAGAAGCTACTCTGTGTATCTGGAAAATACTTTATTACGATGAATTACAAAGTGGGACTGGTTTGGGGTTTGTAATTGTTTTTCAGACGTTTCATTTTTGTCCTGGAAATTTTATTTTTATCTAACTGAACTGAAGATGTTGAAACTTAATCCGTGTGTCATTTGTTCATTCGTTTTTCAAAATAAAACCAAAAATAAGAAAATGAAAAAACAAATATTTTCTTCATTATTTGTCTCCAAAACCAAAATGAAAAAAACAGATAATGATTCGTTTTTTTCAGTTTTTGATTTTGTGTTTAAATGAAGAATGGAAAAAAACAGATAACGGATTGAACCAGTCCTAAACTTGGAATGAACCAGGAGTGTCGGGACGGGCCCGGAGCTGCGTCGGGTGATCAGGACTGAGACCGGGACCAGAACAGGACCAGACCAAGACTGAGACCGATACTGAGACCAGGACTGAGACCGGTTTAGTCTTGTTTTAGTCCTGGTTCAGTCCGGTATTGCAGTTTAAGTCACGTAAATGGGAAACTGCCGTCATCCATTTTTTCCATTTTTCATTTAAACACAAAATGGAAAACTGAAAAAAATGAATCATTATCTGTTTTTTCATTTTGGTTTTGGAGACAAATAATGAAGAAAATTGTTGTTTTTTCGTTTTCATATTTTTGGTTTTATTTTGAAAAACAAAAGAACGAATGACACACAGATTAAACACCTTCTCTCTCTTCACTTTTTGAAGCTTTTGTTTTATCTGAGACACGCTGAGCTCAGGGCCTTCAGTCAAAACAGCGTCTGTTTCATCCCTGCTGTTGTGTCCTTGAGCAAAACACTCACTTATATTCTGCCTGTGCACACACTGATATGTGTAAATGTGAACAGAACTCAACAATGAAGGAAACATAAATTCTGCATTTGACTAGGCCTGGTGTTATTAAGACGTTCCAGATACATAAAGTGAACTTTCACTTCAGTCTGATATATTTCAAATTGATTCGATACGGTTCAGTTCAATAAAGTCTAAATCATGTCTGTGATTCTAAAAGTCTTTGTTAAATCGCTTCTTGGACAAAGTTCATATGAAACACAAACATTTTAATCATCAAAACAGTGAAAATGTCAAATGTGTCACAGTTTCCTTCCTCTGAACAAACAACAAAACTGTAGCTGGAACAAAATAATTTAGTAAAATAAACCAAAAAATACTCACAATATCAATACTGTATCATTACATTAAACAATACGATACGTAGTGATATTTTTGCACACCCCTACGTTTGATTGATTGATTGTATTTAAACATCGCCTTTCAAGATCCCAAAGCACTTTACACTTCATTATTCAGTCACTCCACACTCAGGTGGTGTAAACTACTACTGTAGCCACAGCTGCCCTGGGGCAGACTGACGGAAGCGAGGCTGCCAATCTGTGCCATTGGTCCCTCCGACCACCACCATCACTCACGCTCACACCACTTTCACACTAGGCAATGTGGGTGAAGTGTCTTGCCTAAGGACACAACGACACCTCCTGTGATTCCCAGCGTCTCCCATCCAAGTCCTGCCCAGGCCCGGACCTGCTGAGCCTCTGAGATGTGACGGGATCAGGCTTTTACAAGCCCGTTTGACCCGTTCATTGTAACACTGTTTTGGACCAGGATCCAGAATCAAATCCAGGATTAAACTTTGGGTTGATTTTGTGCAAAAAAACTGAGCAGGACTCACGGAGAGAGAGAGGATCACGATGTGGAAGATTTTATCATCAGCCACCGGATCACACGGAAGAATCACCCTGAAACACAAACGGAGTTTATCTGAGAGACGGAGTTTATATGAGAGACGGAGTTTATATACGAGAGACGGAGTATTATATAGAGACGGAGTTTATATGAGAGACGGAGTTTATATGAAAGACAGAGTTTATATGAGAGACGGAGTTTATATGAGAGACAGAGTTTATATGAGAGACAGAGTTTATATGAGAAGACAGAGTTTATATGAAACAGAGTTTATATGAAACAGAGTTTATATGAGACAGAGTTTATATGAGACACAGAGTTTATATGAAAGACAGAGTTTATATGAAACAGAGTTTATATGAAAGACAGAGTTTATATGAGACATGGAGTTTATATGAAAGACAGAGTTTATATGAGACACAGAGTTTATATGAGACACAGAGTTTATATGAGACAGAGTTTATATGAAAGACAGAGTTTATATGAGACGGAGTTTATATGAGACGCGGAGAGATCTGACGGGATACGAGCCAGTACAGCCAAATCCGTGAACTAAACCAGGTCTGGACCAGGACTAAACGGAACTAAAGAGGAACTACACTTTTCTAAAAGAGAAAAGTTACACATTGCATCTTTAAAACAACTCACACGTGTAATAAATAAATAAATGCTGAAGTTAAAGTCTGGTCCGTTCGGGTCCGTACTCACTCTTTTGGGGGCTTGGTGGGCTCGGCGTTGTTCGAGTACCAGTCCGGATACTCGTAGTACGAATAGTCGAAGGGCTCGGACTGCTGCGCGCTCTGGTTCATCCTGGATCCTGGGTTAGTCCGGGTTTAGTCCTGGTTCTGATCCACGTTTGGTCCTTGCTGAGGTCCCTAGGTCCTGGGTCAGCTCAGGTCGAGTCCTGGTTTGGTTCTGAATCGGGCTCTGAATTTTCGAGTATTTCCTTGATTTTAGTCCTGATATAGTCCTGGTTTAGTTCTACTGTAGTCCTGGTTAGGTCTTTCTGTAGTCCTGGTTTAATTCTGATGTAGTCCTGGTTTTGTTCTAGTTAGGCCCTGGTTTAGTTCTCCTGTAGTCCTGGTGTAATCCTGGCTAGGTCTCTCTGTAGTCCTGGTTTGGTTCTGGTCGGGTCCAGGCAGAGTCCTGGTCTGAGTCCTGGTCTGAGTCCTGGTCTGAGTCCTGGTCTGGGCTCGGAGTGGGACTGGCACATTCCTGTTTAAAGCTGATTAACTTGAGCTCAGAGTTTCATAAACAAAATACGGTCAGACTCAAATAAACTCAGGAAGAATATTTATCACATTTTTTCAGTCTTAAATTAAAAAAAAACATTTCACTTTTATGTATTTATTTATTTATTCGGACAGAAAAGACTTCAAATCTGTGTATCATTCATTTGTTTTCGATATAAAACCAAAAATAAGAAAACAAAACAAAACAAAAAAATGTTATTTTCTTCAACATTTGTCTCCAAAAAGAAAATGAAAAAACAGACAATAGACTAAACCAGGACTAAACCAGGACTAAACCAGACTAAACTAGGACTAAACCAGGTCCCAGTCTCAGTCCCGGTCTAACGTGATAATTTAGTCTTGGTTTCCAGTCCTAGGTTTAGTCCTGGTTTAGTTCTGGTTTGGTTTTAGTCCTGGTTTAGTTCTGGTTTAGTCCTGTTTAGTTCTGGTTTAGTCCTGGTTTTAGTAGTCCTGGTTTAGTTCCTGTTTTAGTCCTGGTTTAGTCCTGTTTAGTCTGGTTTAGTTCTGGTTTTAGTCCTGGTTTAGTCCTGGTTTAGTTCTGGTTTAGTCCTGTTTTAGTCCTGTTTTAGTCCTGTTTAGTCCTGGTTTAGTTCTGGTTTAGTCCTTAGTCCTGGTTTAGTCCTGTTTAGTCTGGTTTAGTTCTGGTTAGTCTGTTAGTCTGGTTTAGGTTGTCCTTTAGTCCTGTTTAGTTCTGGTTTGTCCTGTTTAGTCCTGTAGTTTTAGTCTGGTTTAGTCCTGTCTGTTTACTCTGGTTTAGTCTGGTTTAGTTCTGGTTTAGTCCTGGTTTAGTTTCCTGGTTTAGTCCTGGTTTAGTAGTCTGTTTTAGTCCTGGTTTTAGTTTAGTCTGGTTTTTCTGGTTTAGTCCTGGTTTAGTCCTGGTTTAGTTCTGGTTTAGTTCTGGTTGGTGTTGAGGATTATTCACATTTTTGTTTCTCAAACTCGTTTAATCCTTTAAACCTCAAACAACCGACCTTTGTGTCCAGACAGAACCCACACACACACACACACACACACACACACACACACACACACACACACACACACACACAGACACACACACACACACACACACAGCACACACACACACACACACACACACACACACACACACACAGACACACAGACACACACACACACACACACACACACACACACACACACAGACACAGACACACACACACACACACACACACACACAGACACACAGACACACACACACACACACACACACACACACACACACACACACACACACACACACACACACACACACACACACACACACACACACACACACACACACACACAGACACACACACAGACACACACACACACACACACACACACACACACACACACACACACACACACACACACACACACACACACACACACACACACAGACACACACACACAGACACACACACACACACACACACACACACACAGACACACACACACACACACACACACAGACACACACACACACACAGACACACACACACACACACACACACACACACACACAGACACACACACACACACACACACACACAGACACACACACACACACACACACACACACACAGACACACACACACACACACACACACAGACACACACACACACACACACACACACACACACACACACACACACACACACACACACACACACAGCACACACACACACACAGACACACACACACAGACACACACACACACACACACACACACACACACACACACACACACACACATCAGGAGTTTAAGGCAAGGCAAGTTTATTTGTACAGCACAATTCGTACACAAAGTAATTCAAAGTGCTTTACAGAATAAGAAATACATTAAAATCATAATAAAAACAAATCAAAACATAAATAATCATGAAGATTAAAATTAAAAAAGAGAGACATAAATTGGAGAGAAGAGTGCGGAATGAAAACCTTTCAGTTATTTGCACAGTTAAACAGAAATGTTTAGAGTCTGGATTTAAACAGCGTCACAGAAGAGTCTGTCTCACATGTTCAGACTGTTCCAGGTTTTAGCTGCATGAACCTGAAACTCTGACTCCCCTTGTTTAGTCGTGACTCTGGCACCAGCAGGAGTTGGTCCCTGAGCTCCTCAGAGTGTGAGATGTTCATATGACACTAACATGTCACAGATGGACTTTGGTGCTCGGCCATGGAGACACTTGTACAAACAGAGCTGCTTTAAAGTCTCTGAGCCACAGGAGCCAGAGCAGAGACCTGAGACCAGGACTTATGTGCTCGTACTTCCTAGTTCGAGTCTGGACCCGAGCTGCAGCGTTCTGGATGTTCTGGATGTTCTGGATGTTCTGGATGTTCTGGATGTTCTGGATGTTCTGGATGTTCTGGATGTTCTGGATGTTCTGCAGTGTCTCACAGCTCGTTTGGAGAGACCAGTGAGCAGAACATTACAGTGTCTAATCTTTAACCCAGGGCCTGTTCACTTTCACTGTTCACTGCCTCCTGCTGGTAAAAACTGGAACTGCAACTTTTGGAGACGTGAAAGACGACGACCACCAGAACAGGACGAGAACCCAGTCTGATGGAAGAGACAGAACCAGGACTAAACCAGGTCTGAACCAGAACTAAACCAGGAATAAAACAGGACTAAACCAGGACTAAACCAGGACTAAACCGGGACTAAACCGGGTCTAAACCAGGACTAAACCAGGTCTAAACCAGGACTAAACCAGGACTAAACCAGGTCTAAACCGGGTCTAAACCGGGACTGAACCGGGACTAAACCAGGACTAAACCAGGTCTAAACCAGGACTAAACCAGGACTAAACCAGGTCTAAAACTAAACCGGGTCTAAACCGGGACTGAACCGGGACTAAACCGGGACTAAACCGGGACTAAACCGGGACTAAACCGGGACTAAATCAGGACTAAACCAGGACTAAACCAGGACTAAATCAGGACTAAATCAGGACTAAACCGGGACTAAACCGGGACTGAACCGGGACTAAACCAGGACTAAATCAGGACTAAATCAGGACTGAACCAGGACTGGACCAGGACTGAACCAGGACTGGACCAGGACTGGACCAGGACTGGACCAGGACTGAAACACAAACATTTCATTTCATTTTCTGCTGTTTTGAGGGTGTTTCACATTTTCAGGGCCTGGACGACGTCATCAGCTGAAAATAAAACTGTAAATATCTTAAGAACCAGAATCAGACAAACCAAACTTTTTGCAGCACAAACGAAACACAAAACGATTGACACAGTTTTTGTGTAGGTTTGTGTTTGATGTTTTTTTTCTCTCTTGGTTCATGTTTTGTTTGTACAAATAAAAAGTAAAACCCAGATCCTCAGTCTCCTCCTTTATTTAAGATTTTAAAACAAACTTTCATCAGGTTCTTTATGTTGTGTTCAGATTTATGATCGACTCGTTCTGAGATGTTTCATTTTAGTCTAGAGGTCGTTTATTTTAAGAGAACTGCTCCAGTAAAATGATCTCACTGCAGTGAAGTGTAGACTCCCCTCTCTCCTCCTCTCCTCCTCTCCTCTCTCTCCTCCTCTCCTCTCTCTCTCCTCCTCCTCTCCTCTCCTCTCTCTCTCCTCTCTCCTCCTCTCCTCTCCTCTCTCTCTCTCCCTCTCTCTCCTCACTCCTCTCACTCTCTTTTACTCCTCACACTCCTCTCACTCTCTTTCCCTCTCACTCTCTCTCTCCTCTCCTCTCCTCTCTCCTCCTCTCTCTCTCTCTCTCTCCTCTCTCCTCCTCCTCCTCTCCTCCTCTCTCCTCTCTCTCTCCTCCTCTCCTCTCCTCTCCTCCTCTCCTCTCTCCCTCACTCCTCTCACTCTCTTTTCTCCTCACTCTCCTCTCACTCTCTTTCTCCTCTCACTCCTCTCTCTCTCTCTCTCACTCCTCTCTCTCTCCTCTCCTCTCTCTCTCTCTCCTCCTCCTCTCTCCTCTCTCCTCTCCTCTCTCCTCTCTCCTCTCCTCCTCCTCCTCTCCTCTCCTCACTCCTCTCACTCTCTTTTACTCCTCACACTCCTCTCACTCTCTTTCACCCATCTTTCACTCCTCTCCTCTCCTCTCTCCTCCTCTCCACTCCTCTCCTCCTCTCCTCTCTCCTCCTCCTCTCTCCTCCTCTCTCCTCTCTCTCCTCTCTCTCCTCTCCTCTCTCTCTCTCTCTCTCTCTCTCTCTCCTCTCTCCTCTCTCCTCCTCTCCTCTCTCCTCTCTCCTCCTCTCCTCCTCTCACTCCTCTCACTCTCTTTTACTCCTCACACTCCTCTCACTCTCTTTCACCCATCTTTCACTCCTCTCCTCTCCTCTCTCTCCTCTCCTCCTCCTCCTCTCCTCTCTCTCTCTCCTCTCTCCTCTCCTCTCTCTCCTCTCTCCTCTCTCCTCTCTCCTCCTCTCCTCTCTCTCTCTCTCTCTCTCTCTCTCACTCCCCCCCTCTCACCTGCGCGTGCACGTAGAGCGGGAGCACGAGCAGCGCGAGCAGTAGATCCGCGGCCGCGAGACTCAGGATGAAAAAGTTGGTTGAAGTTTTCAGCGCCTCCTCCACGCACACG